ACCGATTCGTCTTGAGCAAGATTAAGAAAACAAAACTTCATAATTATGTCGTGTCTGATAGTTGTTCAAGCGTCACTTATTTGGACATAAGGCAGTGATTCCCGATGATTGGATACACCTTGCCGTTGTTGCAGGTTGAGTTTTCCGTGGACATCATCGGTACGCCGCCCCCGGACGTGACCTGGTACAAGGACGGCTTCGAGGTGTACGACACGCAGCGGTTCCAGTTCCTGGCGGACGGTGACCGATACATGCTGATTCTACGGGAGGCGAGACTCACGGACGAGGGCGACATCAGGGTAAGAGCCACGAACCGAGTGGGCGTGGCGTCTTCCCAGGCCGCTCTCGCTGTCCAAGGTATGGCAGGTCACGTTTTAACCTCACTTTACTATTTCGATATCATAATGATAATAATATTCGTCTTTTACTGATGATGATTTTTAAAGATAACATCGTGACGTCTTTCAGCACCGCCACACATTACCTTGCCGCCGCAATACGAGCAAGGTCTGATCTTCGACACCGACGAACTTATTCGACTTCGAGTTCCCTACACGGGCCGACCTCAGCCTACAGCCACGTGGACACACAACGGCAAACTAGTGCGTTATATGGCGGGACATCCTATTCCTCTAAGTGGATATGTGTATTTAGTTATCTGAGTATATATGCGTATTTGCATTAACGTGGATTCGCTTATATTATATGAACACATGTGCGTGAGAGAGAGAGAGAGCGAGAGAGAGAGAGAGAGAGAGAGAGAGAGAGAGAGAGAGAGAGAGAGAGAGAGAGAGAGAGAGAGAGAGAGAGAGAGAGAGATAGAGAGATAGGGTGGGGAGTTATGCTCACCTTTGTCGACTATCATCATAAGGTGACTCCCAAGCCTTGTTCCACAGATTGAGACCGACGAGCGCCACACGATGGACGTGTCGGAGAAGTACGCCACGCTGAAGATCGCCGGCGCCAACAGGATGGACAAGGGCATGTATGCGCTCAAACTGGCGAATCCGCAGGGCGAAGCGTCGACCTCATTCTTCGTCACCGTCACGGGTCAGATGCCGTCATTTTGTGGTTTTCTTATTTCTGATTCACACGCGCGCGAATATCAGTCTGCTATATCTTTAAGCTTACTAATGTATCGTTTTCTGATGATGAAATTAACGTATTAATTACATAAAGCATTTTTACGAAAAATGTTCATGTCTTAGTTACCCCAGTGTACTATGGGTCATATCAGCGCGAGGTGGTTTCGCGTCTTTATCAATCTCTTTCGTCAGTTGCATTGTGTTTCGTATTTCTCCAGATCGGCCGGATCCACCCAGCGTGCCAGTAATCACAGACGTGACTGGCACCTCCCTCACTCTCCGGTGGGACGCGCCCGCTGATGACGGTGGCTGCAGGATATCTAACTATACTCTCGAATACTTCAGGGTGCGTCATCCTCATTACTAGTTGCATCGCTGAATACTTTATTGACCGTTTGTCCAGAATGACAGGGGCATGTCGTGTTGCGTATGCAAGGATGGATGCTTTCTGAAGAATATTTAGCTTGATTATGAGTGAACTGTATAAACAGATGTTGGCCTCAGTAAACGTGAAATTCATCTTGATAAACCTAAATGATGTCAGTGCCCAGTATACAAAGATATCTTTCCCAAACATACGTAGACAATAAAAGATGTCATTTTTAAATGTATATAGCACCTAAAAATATGAATATCAAATATACATAAAAACTAACATTTCTGATCCAACAGGTGGGCTGGGACGTGTGGCTCAAGGCTGCGTCCTCTCGAATCACGTGGACGCAGCTCAGTGACCTGATCGTCGGCTCGGAGTATCGCTTCAGGGTTAAAGCCGAGAACGCGTACGGTGTGTCAGAACCCGGGCCAGAGTCCGAGCAGATCCTCATCGAAGACACCAAGAGTCCCACTGGGTACGAGAATGTTGATGTTAAAGACGCACGCGTAGGGCAAACACACACCGGGTGGGGGAACTGGGGGGATGTAGGTGCTGATTTTTCAGGGGATGAATCTGGACTGGTTATCGAAACGGTAAGTCTTAAAGGTCAACAGGAACAGTATGAGGAGGAAATGAGATTGCGTAGTATTCATAATTACAGTGTCTACGAGGGAGAAAACGCGCCAGTCTTGGTAGGTAGGTCTGAAGGGTATGCAGATGAGTACCAGTCGGCGGCGCACGAGGGGGTACAGGAACCTGCAGCATGGCTTGGTGTTATCTCACCGGTATATACTACTGTCCATAATCTTCCCCAAGAAGAGAACGACTCACAGTACTACACCTGTAACGAGACGGCGCCAACGGCTTTCCATGAACCAATGACTACCTTCAACATGAATCAATGGGGCAGTAGCTTTGAGGAACCGTCTGAAGATGAGGATTCGTCTTCTGAAGACACAGTCACAGCAAACAACATGCAGCAAGGAATGCCACTCCATGAAGGCCGAGAAATAATTTTATCTCCCATAGGCGCGCAGTGGATGGCTAACGGAAGGATGGCTATTGCTAATCAGTTCAGAATAATATGTGGCGGTCTAGCCAGCATGAATCATCTTGGTAACATCAATGACGGAAAGCGTGAGGGAACGTTCGTCGAAGAGTCTGCAAAACAGCAGAACGGCACTACCGCTCGTGCATCTGTGGAAGATATTGATCAAACAAATATCCAAGAGAACAACGAAGAAAATGAAGATCCACCAGCAAATCAATTGCAGTCTTCTGAGCAACATACATTCAGTCAACCTGCTAATCAAAAGGTAAGCCAGAATGATGTCCCGGCTAATCACTGCAGTATGTATAGAATGGAAGAGCTGGACACCTTGTCGCCCCAAAGAGAGTATGAAAACGTCAACGCATTAGATAATTCAGTGTTCCAAGATTCATTTGAAACTGTGTCTGATGCTGCTTCTGGCTCCAAAGAATTTAATGCGCTGTGCAAGCAGGACATCGAACAGTCTCGGTTTTTGCATCAGGAAGAAGGCTTGCTTTCATTCTCTTGGTCGTCTTCGAGCTCCAGTCATCAGCAGGACACGTCGAATGATGCATCAGTATGGACCTTGGACTCAGATAGGCAAAGCAAGTCGGTCCGTCCTAAAGAGAAGGCTGGAAAGCACGTTTCAGAACCACATGGCAATAAGAAACGAGAAGGTTCTGTAACTACCAGCAAGGCTATTAAGAAGTCTAAACGTTACACTTTCGAGCAATGCGATGAGCCCACCGTAAATGATGAATCCAATTACGGTACGTACTCATCATGGGAGCCAAAGATAAACCAAGTTATTACTTCGAGAATAGATTTACTAGAGAACTTAGTGTACCGGTGTTTGGAGAATGAGGACGTGACAATGAATGAGCTGGGAATGACAGATGATGAAGGGTCAGGCCCTGCGTCACCCCTGGCTCCTCTGTCGCGAGCCAGCTCTTGTGGCAGAGTCGATGTCAGGAAGGGGGAGCTCAGAGACCTTATCAGTGATCTCGGGGAGCTCGTGAGTGGAATGAACGAACGCAGCAGAACAATGAGCGCTGAGAACGTGGCCAAGTTTTTCGAGAAGACGGCATGTGTGGTGCAAGATCCGACTTCACCAGTGCCGTTACTTGCAGGAGAAAAAGAGATAGTTGAAGAAATTATAAGATCAAACCGTACGTCAAGAACGCATTCCATCGACGAACACACCTTCGATGAGCTAGACATAAGTAGTGAGGAAAGCTTCGTCAACTTGATGCACCCCTTTGATCAAGTGCGTATTCAGTCATCCATCCTGGAACGCATCTCACACTTGGATGAGCTGATGGCTCGCTGCCTGGAGCACGAGGATATCACCCTCAACACCCTTGGGTCACCCCCGTGTTCGCCGAATCCCGCTCCGCAGCTGGACCCCAACGAAGAACGACTCGATACGAGCAAGCTTGCCCTTACGGGTCTTATCGGTAACCTGGGATCACTGATAAGGGGTCTTGGCCAGAAATTCAATGCACACTCCTCTTAACTGCCCATCCTTTTTAACTTCTCTCATATCTTTCAACATCGTACTGTATACACCAAGAATAATTTAAAGATATTGAAGTAATTACCCTCTTGATGTCTCGCTGCCGCAGTAGGATGCGCCATACATTTATCTGCAGCATTTATATGAATGGATGTGTTCACTTTAGTTTGATTGTTTGTGTTCATATAGAGTAGGTAAGGATATTGATGTTTGACTTTTATATATTCATTTATGCTTTGTGGTGTTATTTGATTATAATACTCAGAAAGCCATGGAATATAAAATGTTATTGTATACCCAAAGGATTAATCAGTTTTTTAAATCAGCATATTTTACACTTTTGTACGATACAACTAACCTTGTTTAACTTGACTTGCATACACAAGTCACTTTGATTTCATTTTTATACTAAGCTAATATCGCTAAGGCATAGAAGACAAAGCTGCCGCAGCTTGGCCTTTTTAACTTCTGTTGTAGGCGTTCTTGCATTTTTTTTATAGTTCTTTTTAAACTTTGCTGGAGCTGTCTAAAAGATAGTTATCCATTTTGGTAATGTTCTTCTCGTTTTATTTTTTTACTTTGTAGCTTTTTGATACCTTATTGTTTCGAGGGAATTATATTTATTGTTAAGCTTGTCATAGACCTTCATCTTTCTATCTTGGCGGATGAGATGCTTGTATTTGCCAAGGAAACATTCCCTCACTCGCATTAGTTATATAAAAGACTGATGAGGAACTTCATAATTTGGTCAAATTTTATACTTTTATACTTCTTGAAGTTTTGTTGGATTTAACCCATTGACGTAGAAAGTATTGTAGCAGTATGAATAAAGTAGCATTTTGTAGACTAGCATTTTATTCACTAATCCATAATTTTAACACTGTACTCAGAAAGCCAATATTAACAGCTCTCATGGTATCCATGAACAACAACTTCATTCGGTGACAAAAACTGGCTCTCATCCGCCTTAAGTTCAGAACATCAGTCATGGAG